AAGCTACCAATAGCAGAGTGTTCATAACTTGCTAAGCCATTATTAGCCATGATTTATAATCCACAGCAGCTCCGTTCAGATCACAAGGCAAGACAAAAAAAAATAAAAATCAAAGCTTGGATTATCACATAGTCACAGGCCGTTCCTCTAATGGGAACAGGAGATTAGTTTAGATTCAGATTAAAAAGAATAGACAAGGGGGAGGCCATTAAAGCTAGCAGACGGTCCTTTTAACTTAAAAAGATTCCAGATCCAAAGAAAGAAGCACATAGGCCCAGTAGAGAGGAACTGAAATAGGAAAGACACATTCTTTAATTGCTTGGAGATGTAAGGATTTGGAATTCCATGGCACCAGGACTGTAGAAGGAAAATATGTCTTCCAATTGTAGGTGCAGATCAAAGGGGGAGAAAGAGGGGGGAAGGGAGGGAGAGAAAGAGAGAAAGAAAGAAAAGAAAGAGAACGAGAGAAATAAAGAAAAGAAAGAAAACAGGAAGAGAGGAAGAAAAAGAGAAAGAAAAGAAAGAAGAGAGAAAGAAAAAAAAGAAAGAAAAGAAAGAAAAGAAAAAGAAAAGAAAGAAAGAGAAAAAGAAAAATAAGAGAGAGAGAGAGAAAAGAAAGAAGAGAGACAGAAAGAACAGAAAGGAGAGAGAGAGAACTGTCATTGGGACTTGAGTGGAGAAAGCACAATATGAGTTCAGCCAAATGTCATTTTGATCTCTTTTCTTTCCCCTGCAGCTTCTGATTGGTCATCCTCACATTTGACAGTTTTCATGAATGGTATTATTTGGCCCTCGTTAAGCAAACACAATACTGTATTTAGGCATTGATGTCTGGCCCCCATTTGACATTGTCTGCAGAGGCTCTGTGTGAAGGGCTGAAAGATTAAAAAGATGTCCCTCTGCCTGTCTATCCACCTACATATGAAAGCAGGATCTTGAAATGGCCCACCAGTATTTTCCAGCAGAGTGCTTGGAACAATAATTAATGTTACCGAACCAGGATCAGTCTTCCAGCCTCCACCTGATGGTATGTGAGCCACTAAGGCAGCAGATTTCCAAGTAGCAACAGCTTAGCACATGATGTTCTAAAGGCAGCACATCAAGTAGAACAATGCAATCTGTTCATGGGAACATCTAATGGTGGGAGAAGTAGGAGATGCTAGAAAGTCCATGCCAACAGTAATTTTGGCTAGCCAAAAATATTAAGCAGGGTCATGCTTGGGTGGAACATAATGAAGTCCCAGAGCTGCTAGATTAGAAAGCTGGGGAAAAAAACCCTAAAAGGCAACCGAGTCTTTATCTTCGTCTTTAGAAATGCCATCTCATCTGTTTTGCTAAAGGCATATAAAGAATCCAGTTGCTGCATTGAATGTTGTTTATTGATTTTAATAGCAATAGCACTTCGACTTCATAGTATTTTTTACAGCCCTCTCCAAGCGATTTACTAAGTCAGCATTTTGCCCTCAACAATCTGGCTCCTCATTTTAACCAACCTGGGAAAGATGGAAGGCTGAGTCAACCTTGAGCCGGTCAGAATCAAACTGCTGGCGGTCGGCAGAGTTAACCATGAAATACTGCATTCTAACCACTGCGTCACCATGGCTCAATTTAACCGACTGTAAACGGGAAGCATGAATGATTACTTCTCTACTTTTGCACATTTGATGTCAAGTTGTGTCTACTGTATCTACTCCAGGGGGCTGACACTTTGACTATATAAACAAATGTACTCTTCCAAATAGTGGAATAATGATAAAATAACAATAGCAAATCGTCACCAGAAAAAATAACATCCTTAAGGAATAAGGCCAAGTTGTACTAATCATTGGGGATTACAGTTCTCCTCCATTAGCTCATTCCAACAGCTCAAGGTTTCATAAAAAGCTTGAAAAACAAGCTGTGCGTTTGCAAAAAGCCACGTGGATTACAGTAATCCCATTTTTTTTGAATAAAAGTAAGCTTTCTTATAGTAATAGTATTCAGGCACAGTATATACCACTTCATAGTGCTTTACAGGCCTCTCTAAGCTGTTTACAGAGTCAGCATTTTGCCCCCAACAATCTGGGTCCTCATTTTACTTCTCTCCTTGATTAGTTTCCACCCATTGCTTCTTGTCCTACCCTCAGGTGTTTGGAGAATAGCTTGACTCCCTCTTCTTTGTGGCAACCCCTGAGATATTGGAACACTGCTATCATGTCTCCCCTAGTCCTTCTTTTCATTAAACTAGACATACCCAGTTCCTACAACGTTCTTCATATGTTTTAGCCCAGTGTTTTTCAACCACTGTGCCGCGGCACACTAGTGTGCCGTGACATAGTGTAAGGTGTGCCGTGGGAAAAACACCCGACTATAGTCAATATAGGCACAGAGTTAAATTTTTTTAACATTTTCTAATGGTGGTGTGCCTCATGATTTTTTTCATGAAAAAAGTGTGCCTTTGCACAAAAAAGGTTGAAAAACACTGTTTTAGCCTACAGTCCCCTCTTCATCTTTCTTGCTCTTCTCTGCACTCTTTCTAGAGTCTCTACATCTTTTTTACATCGTGGCAACCAAAACTGAATGCAGTATTCAAAATGTGGCTTTACCAACATTTTGGTATTATAAAGTGGAATTAACACTTCACATGATCTTGATTCTAAATAGCTGGAACATAGAATAACAGAATTGGAAGGGACCTTAGAGGTCATCTAGTCCAACCCCCTGCTTAGGCAGGAAACCCTACACCACTTCAGGCAAATGGTTATCCAACATCTTCTTAAAGACTTCCAGTGTTGGAGCATTCACAACTTCTGGAAGCAAGTTGTTCCACTGATTCATTGTTCTAACTGTCAGGAAATTTCTCCTCAGTTCTAGGTTGCTTCTCTCCTCGATTACAGACCTCTCTAAGCTGTTTACAGAGTCAGCATTTTGCCTCCAACAATCTGGGTCCTCATTTTACTTCTCTCCTGGATTAGTTTCCACCCATTGCTTCTTGTCCTGCCCTCAGGTGCATTGGAGTGTAGGAAGTTGACATTTCTTCCAACAGGAGAATAGCTTGACTCCCTCTTCTTTTTGGCAGCCCCTGAGATATTGGAAGATTGCTATCCTGTCTCCCCTAGTCCTCCTTTTCATTAAACTAGACGTAGTTTAATTAATTCGTTTAATTTGTTTGTATCCATTTTCTCTTTATACATCATGTTTATACTTATATCTGTTACCTTATACATGCTTGACAAATAAATAAAATAAATAAAATAAATAAAATAAATAAAATAAAAAAAATAAAATAAATAAAATAAATAAAATAAATGCATGCACGCTTCTCGGGATTTCCTCGTCCTTGCACTTCTCAAAGCTTCACAGGGGTTTCCTTAATTTTATTCCACATCCATAAACGTGGAGCTTTGGCTAGAGTGTAGCGAGAGAGATGAATGCAATTGTGAATCTGCAAGGAATGCAACTTTCACTCAAACACTTAAGGTCTCAGGCGAGGGACTGTTAAAAAAAAAACCTGCTGGACCAAAAAAATAAATCTCGCCCCGACCTTTAACGAGGAAACTTCTTGCGTAGTTACTAACGGGAGGAATGGGGACTCGAACCCTCAGCCTCCGAAACTATCGGGCTTGTGCAAAAGCGCGCCGCGGCTCCATCCGGGTCTTTTGTTTTCGGGACCGCCTTCGGGGACACGTCATTCGTGACGGAAGGCGAAGCGGGGATTGGTTGCCTAGGGAAACCAAAGTCCCTCTCTCCTCCCACCCACCCCGCTTTAGGGGGCGGGGTTTGTTGGGTAGTTCCTGGCGGGAGATTCGACCCTCGGAAAGGCTGTCGAGGAAGGCGGGGGGTGCCTCGATAGGGCTGGCGGAGGAAAGAAAAGGTGGGGGAGAGCCTTCCCACCGTTCCCCAATTGGGGCAGGGTCTTGCAAGGGGGAAGGGGGATTTGGGGGTGGAAGGAAGGGTAGGGGGGCGGGGGGGTCAGTCGAGGAACCCATTGGGAGGGGAAGCTCATTGGGGCGAGAGGGGTCTCCTAGGAGGCTCAGGCAATGAGGGGAGCTTATAAAGCTTAGATGAGAGGTCACGTGGGCACCAGCCAACAGGGGTGAGGCAACGGGGGGGGGTCATTTGGGAGGAAAAGATTGGAAGTGTCAGACCCCCAATTGGGACAGGGTCCTGCAGGGGAGGCAGTGGAGTGGAGGGGTTTTGGGGGCTGTCAGTTGAGAGGGGGTCTTGGGGGGGTCAGACTCCCAATTGGGGCAGGGGAGGCAGTGGAGTGGAGGGGTTTTGGGGGGTGTTAGTTGGGAGGGGGGCTTGGGAGGGTCAGGCCCCCAATTGGGGCAGGGTCCTGCAGGGAGGCAGGGGAGTGGAGGGAGGATTGGGGGGGTCAGTTGGGAATGGGACTTGGGGGAAAGGGGAGTCGATGAACCCATTGTGGGGAGCTCATTGTGGGGAGAGGGGTCCCAAAGGAGGCTCAGGCAATGGGGAGAGCTTATTGGGTGACAAGAGGTCATGTGGGCACCAGCCAATAGGGGTGAGGTCACGGGGGAGGTGTCATTTGGGGGAAATAGGATTTGGGGTGTCAGATGAGAGGGGGGCTTGGGGGTCAGTTCCCCAATTGGAGCAGGGTCCTACAAGGGAGGCAGCAGAGGGGAGGGGGATTTGGGAGTGGAAGGAAGGGGAAGGGGTCATTTGAGGAACTCATTGGGGGGAGAAGGATCAAAGTAGCATCAGGCAATGTTGGGGGCGCTTACAGGTAGTCCTTGACTTACAACAGTTCATTTAGTGACTGTTCAATGTTACAACAGCCCTGAAGAATGTGGCTGAGGGCCATTTTTCACAGTGACGACCTCTGCAGCATCCCTTATAATCGTGATCAAAATTCGGATGCTTGGCAACTGACTCGTATTTATGACCATTTCAGCATCCCTGGGGGGGTGGTGTCATGTGATTCCCCTCTTCGGGTCCTTCTGACCTGCAAAAGTCAAGGGGGAAGCCAGATTCACTGAACAACCAGGTGCCTCACTTACCGACTGGTGATTCGCCTAAAAACCATGGGGAGAGAAGGGTTAAAAAATAGGGGGAAAGCTCACTTAACTGTTTCACTGAACAACAGAAATGTGGGGGGCGTAAATCGAGGACTACCTGTATTGGGTGGCGAGAGGTTACCTGGGCCCCAGCCAATAGGGGTGAGGCAATGGTGGTCATTTGGGGGAAATATGGGGGGGGGGGATCACGGAGGGGCAATTATGGGCTTCCCCAGATATAGAATAGATTAGAATAACGTTATGGTCACTTTGAATGTACACTAATTGGCATGCATTAAAATGACAGCATTTCCTTGACCGAGAAGGCAAAACAAATGGAGGAACCTGTTTTTGTGCTTTAGTAAATCTCCCTTATCCTTGAAGATTTGGTAAGTGACCCTAAAGCTTCCATTGGCCTCGCCCTGCCAAAATGGACCAGAAAATCCTGCTTCTGGAAGCAGAGGGAAACTTAGAGGGCCTCCAGTCGTGCCTGCAGAGCCTCAACGAAAAAGAGGTCAGCCCCAATTGCTTCTCTCATATTCAGCCTCTCCCCCCCTCAAAAAAAAAGTAGCCCCATTATTTATGTATGGCTTTTGCCTTTAAATTGGAGACTTTGGTTCTAGATAGTACTGAACTACAGTTTCTAAACTCTCTTTAAAGCAGAGTTCCTTTAAGCTTGGTCTGGAGATCTCTCAAGAACCCTCAGAAAAAAAATGAAAATGATTTGGCAGACGTTGAGGATATTTGCAAAATTTAAAAAGAAATAGTCTCATGATTGTTAAAAGATAGGGTTTTCATCAAAAACAAGATCAAAATTTGTAACACTGAAATTAAAATTGATGTTTTCATAGACTATGAAACTGTGGACAAGAAACCATTAGACATGGACATAAATATTTTGCACGATTTAAAATGTTTCTTGCCAACTGGGCTAGATTGCCATTTACGAAATAAGCTATCCATGGACTCTGCTACCATGTCACTTAATTGTTTAGGTCTCAGTTATTCATTCATTCTTTATTCCCAACATCTTCACACTCTTGCAAAGATTACTTGTGGAATCATTTAGACTACAATAAGAAGACAATAAATAGGCATGTTTTTATTCAAATTAATACTGGGGGGTAATGATGGATGTAAAAGTTCGGAAGAATGACACGTTTTACAACTCTGGTCTCTTTGCTACAGTTGAATGACCTCATTACAAAACACGCATTGAGGAAGAAGGCGATTGGTGCTGTTCTGAGAGGAATGTTCAAAGGTACTTACAAAGGACTAGTGGATTGATCTTTGGCCCAATGTTATGGCTACTTGCCCGTACGAAGCTAGTATTCTGAGCAAGTATGTAAATAATAGTTTCCAGACTGGGAACAACCTGCTTCTCTGCTTTTCATTTTAATATCTGGGTTTCCTACCTTTTAAAATATTATTAAAAGATAGGAAACCCACATATTAGCCCGTTCTACTATTATAATAGGCTAGTAGGGATGTCAGCAACCTGCGGCTCCGGAACCGTATGTGGCTCTTTCATTCCTCTGCTGCAGCTCCCTGTCGTGGCAGATGGATGGGAGAACTGTTGCCTCTGTACTTGCCTTTGGGTGGCAACAGGATGCCACATTCGTCATGGTACATTTGCTGTTGGCGCCAACAAAGAGGGTTGGGAGAGGACGGCGGGGGCAGATCTGGCGGGGTGGGGAGGGGGAGAGAGAGAGAGGCATGGCAAAGAATTTAACTGGTTCTCTGGCCTAACGACTGGCTGGGGGTGGGTGGGTCATGTGACAATGGGAGTGAATGAAACCAAGTTGGCCACGCCCACCCATGTTTTGTGGCTCCCGGTGTTTTCTTTGCTGTGGGAAAGGGCTCCAAACGTCTGCTTGAGGGTTTAAGGTTGTTGACCCCTTGGGCTAGCATCAAGTAATGGCTTACAACCCAGATATTATCCTGTTCTGCTATTAGAACAGGCCAGCATCAAGTAATGGCTTATAAACAGTTGAATCTTTTTAACCAACAAAGTGTTGGGGAATCAAATTGCCCTATTTGTTGATAAAGGAATATGCAAGCTTTCACATTGCAAAACCCCACTTTCCGCTGTTTAAGCAGTTCAAAATTAATAATATTTTGTTGCTATTGTGTGATGCTGTTGTTGTTTTTTTTGTTTTTGTTTAGGTTCCCCCTGCTCTCAACAGAAGGGTGTTTCCAGAAGACTAAGTATTTACAAACACTGTATTGAGTTAGTGGAGTCAGGTGACCTGCAAGTGGAAATTGCATCTGAGATAATAAGACTGCTTATGTTAGAGGTAAAAGATTAAAAAAAAAAATCTCAAGATTTTTCCATGAGTGACAGTGGGGATGATTCCTTTTTATATCTATCTATCTATCTATCTATCTATCTATCTATCTATCTATCTATCTATCTATCTATCTATCTATCTATCTATCTAT